TCCTCACGAATTCGTGCGCCTAGGTATTTAACCGATGCCACTGTTTGGGTGTCAAAACTTGGTTGTCGTTCCCGACGAACTTAATTTCTGTGTTCTGTTTGCTGACTTGCTTCCCATTCTTCCTGCAGCCGGCGCCCGACACGGCAACGACCAGTTCAGCTTTAGGGACGTTCATCCTTGTTCCTCCCTCCGTAATGGCATACTGCAAAAATCCAAACATATCCGAGATACGTTGAAAGTCAGTGATTAGTACTATACGGATCAGGCACGCGTTTGCTCTGCTCGGAAGAGGAATTCGATAGCGCATTTCTTCCTGGTGGAATCCCGATTCTCGTGGCGGGTTCCAGGAACCCTGAACCCAATAATGGTATCGTCTCTTGGGGCCGCTCCTTTTACTTCCGCCGCCTTTCGCCAGCCTTTCGCCAGCTCCCGCCGGTGGAGGTAGCCTCGCTTTACTTCCGCTGCCTTCCGCCGCCCTTCCGCCGCGTGAGGCCGAGGAAGAGATGGCAACTCCTTCGATCCTCGAAGGCGAGGCCCTTTCTGGACCGCACCACGTGGCAGGAGAGCCCAGAATGGATCGATAAATCGAATCGGCGATCGATGAGTCGAATCGGCGATCGATGTTAACCGGATCGAGTGAAATCGGCAGCCAAGACGGGCGGGAGGTCGCGTTGGCAGAGATCGGCAGAGCAAAGAGTCCTCATCGATGAATCGGAATCCGCATCGGAACCCGAGGCCGAACCGCATCGGAACCAGAATCCGTCGGCACCGAACTCGCATCGAAGCGGAGGAGCCGAGACGAGCCTTCAGAGGCACTGTCGTAGTCGTCGTCGTCGTCGTCGTCGTCGTCGTCGTCGTCGTCGTCGTCGTCGCCGTCGTCCTGTTCGGCTCAAGGGCGGCAGCCAGGCCGTGCTCGTTGGCCCCTCCCTGGGACCTCGCGCGCAGCTCGTCGAGGCTCGCAGGGAGGGGGAGGAGGGGGAGGAGGGAGGAGGAGGAGGAGGAGGAGGAGGAGGAGGAGGAGGAGGAGGAGGAGGAGGGAGGAGGAGGAGGAGGAGGAGGGAGGAGGAGGAGGGAGGAGGAGGAGGAGGAGGAGGAGGAGGAGGAGGAGGAGGTCTGCCTTTTTTAACGCTCCGCCGCCCCGACGCGCCACCGCGCGACGCGCAGGCCCTCGGCACGGAGCTCAGCGCGCAGACGGAAGGCGCGCAGGTCCGGCGCGACACGTTCGCCCAGACGCGGCCCCACACGTGCCGAGGCGATTCCCTCCGCGGGCTCGCCTTCTCCTCCTCCTCCTCCTCCTCCTCCTCCGCCTCCGCCTCCTCCTCCTCCTCCCTCCTCGTCCTCGTCCTCCTCCTCCTCCTCGTAGTCCTCCTCCTCCTCCTCCTCCTCCTCCTCCTCCTCCTCCTCCTCCTCGTTGTCCTCGCACTTGTTGAGCACGGTACGTGCTGCGTCTGCTCACGGAGCGCCTGAGGTCTTGAGGCAGACAGCGTCTCGCAGGATCGTGCTGTTTTTGTTTGGGGGGGGGCGTGGAGCTCTCGAAGCCTACGGGCTTCCGCGGGGTCCCTTTGCAGTACAGAGTGCACGCGACGCTCAGCAGCCAGTGGACCCCGTTGGCCCCATCGAGTGCGCACCACCCGCGCCCGGCGTGGCCCTCAGTAGGGAGCAAACGAACCTACCTCGCTTTTGACCACCCTCGCTTCCAAGAGATACCAAGCGATGCCAAACTGTGGCATGTACTGGTCAGGCCGCTTGACGAGGAGGCGTATGGTATGACTTCGTTTTGCCTGGAAGCGAAAGCGGGGTAGGTAATTCACGCTCTGACTCAGGCATGGTGCAGCGAAACAGGCGTGTTGGTCAACATCCAGGAAACAGAGATCGGCTCACTGCTGTTTTGCCGGGCTAAGCTGATGGAGTTTGGCCACCGCCTCGCTTCAACTCCATCATTGCCTGGACCAAGCCATGCCGCGATCTCCAACAACATGGACCCAGGCAACCACATGCTCCTTGCCTTGCTTGCGCAATCTGCGTACATTGGCAGCGGGCCAGACTCCAGACAGCAGAGATCAATAAAATGAATGGTCTCCGGGATCGGCTTCTCGGCTTCATTTTGCGCATCTCCTGGAGATTAAGAGGTCCACAATAGGTGACAAAGTTGAAAACAGCAACAACAATTCGAAGCTCCACACCGGCGCTCTAAACTGGCGCGCTGTCTTGAGTTGGGAGATGTGTGTGCTGTTTGTAGGCTGCTTGGAGCTGGTCGGCGGATTCAGCTTTGTGAGCTCTGTTGACCAGCCAGCGCCCTTACGACAGGAAGTACTGATGGAAGTAGCTTGGCCAGAATCGCGCCAATAAGGCAGGGCGGCCGTAGTTATGTGGGTTCAAAGAGCTTAGGCGCCAAATCTGCTCGCCAAAGCGCTGGGCGAGCCCGGTACCATGGTCACGGGTGCAAGGTGCGCTCAGCACTCAACAAGCATCGTCATCATCATCATCATCATCATCATCATCATCATCATCATCATCATCATCACCATCATCATCCTCATCATCATCCTCATTTTCCTCGTCAGCATCATCACCATCATCATCATCATCATCATCATCATCATCAGCATCATCATCATCATCATCACCATCATCGTCGTCATCATCACCATCATCACCACCCGGATCTCCTAGGTCGCCTGACGTCGCGCATCGCGCCCGGCGATGCGCGGCCATCTTCGCGCCCTCGCGCCGCCCCCCTGGGGAACGGGCGGCCGCCCCAGCCCCACATACTCCAGATTTCGCAATAAAAGGGAGGGGGTCTGGACCCTCCAAGACAAGCCATTTCAGACCTCCCCCGTGGGAGAACCCTCCAAAACATCGCCCCCAGACCCCCCAGGCCCTCCAAGATAGCCTGGAAGAGGCCCCCCCCCGAAATGAGACCCCCCCTCCCTTTATTACGAAATCTGGAGTACACATCATCGATAGCTCGGCGACAGGCCACCGAGGGCGAAACCGCACGCCCCCCCCTGGGCGGTGGGGGGGGGCCCATCGGGCCCCGATCGGCGATGAGTGGGCGATTTCGGGGGGTCGACACGCACTCCCCGCTGAGCCGATCCCCCCCGAGCGTTGTGCCCGCCGACGACGCCGACTCCGACTTCCCCCCGACCGCGGCGGCGACGACGACTTGAGACGAAACCAGGGCGAAGATAAATCCAAACGAGGATAGATCAAGAATCTCTGAGATCCGACGGCTCTGGAAACTGTCTCGGGCGCCGCGGTCTTCTCAGAGCGTTCCGGAGCTGGAGGCTTGGAGATGGTCAGCGGGTTGCCTCCAATGGGGGGAGGTGCTCCTGGATTTTTGAAGAGGCCCTGGGTCACACAAATAAATACACACAAATAAAAAGATTCCCCACATTTTCCTATATTTTCTGGGCGTTTGGCTTCCCCCCCACTTCCCATATGTTCTCATATTTTCTGGGGAAGCGAAGATGAATTGTGTCTGTGTGCTGTTTTCCCTCCCGAATTTTGTTCTTGGCAATCCTTCGGCCACCCAGGAAGCCCGCATGTTGCCAACACCGTCGAGATCGGGATCGTCTTCCCTCGCTGGAGGCACGCCGCCAAGCTTGGTGCAGGTGGCCACCTCTACCTCCTCCTCCTCCTCCTCCTCCTCCTCCTCCTCCTCCATTTTGTTCTTGGCAGTCTTTCGGCCACGTAGGAAGCCCGCATGTTGCCAAAACCGTCGAGATCGGGATCATCTTCCCTCGGTGGAGGCACGCCGCCAGTATTGGTGCAGGTGGTCACCTCTACCCCAGATTTCGTAATAAAAGGGAGGGGGTCTGGACCCTCCAAGACAAGCCATTTCAGACCCCCCCCGTGGGAGAACCCTCCAAAACATCGTCCCCAGACCCCCCCCAGGCCGTCCAAGGTAGCCTGGAAGAGACCCCCCCCGAAATGAGACCCCCCTCCCTTTATTACGAAATCTGGAGTACCCAGGCCTCCAGCAAAGGTGGCTGGCGCTGAACCCATCCACGCGGAGAAGATCTGCCCAAATCTCCGACGGCATGAGTGTCCCATCCGGGCGCTTGTTCTGGATCTCGGCCTCGCAGAGCCCTTCTGGGGCCCCGGGGCAATCGAACACGGATCCAGGAGGCAAGCCTACTCCTGCAGAAGGAGGTCGAGAGCTCCGAAGCACCCGATCGACAAAAAAAACCAGATCGGAGGATGTCTGTCCATGCGAATACACGCAGCTGTATACCACTGCGGGTCGGGGGGGGCCGGCCGTGGCTGGCCGACTGGCCCCTTGGGGGGGGGGGGAGATCGACCAGGAAGCGGCGATGCACTGCCGGTAGATTTGCGACAGGCCCCCAACTGTGAACACCGCACGTTCCTGGACGGGGCTGGGTATCCTCAATGGGCCATTGGGGGCCGATGCGCCCCCCGCGGATCACATCTCCCCTTGACGTTGCCCCGGAACCACCGCCACGCCTGGCCATGGCCATCCTGGGCCCCAGCATGTGCACGCCCCCCTGGCTGGGGCCAGGAGGGCCGACTCACCATCCTGGGTCTCAGGGTGGCCCTGGGCCAGGCACGGTGGCGGGGTACAAGCGCCTTCTGCGGAGGCGGCCCATCTCTTCGCGACAGAAAAACCGTCCCATCGCATCGGCTAAATCTTCCGAGTTGTGTGGCCAAGGACGACGGCAGAACGCCTCTCACCAATATCGGGTCACTTCGCACTCGGGGAGGCAGACATCATTATGTTCCAAGCTGTTGAGGCATTGCGTACTGAGGCGCTGGGCCACGAATTGCGTTCCGAATGCGTGCCTCCCGCATTTGCACTAGGCTTTTCAAAATGCACCATGGAATGCAAACAGCACCGAGTGTGACAAGGCGACCGAATCGTGAGCGCCCGCACCCCGAACAAACACGTCGGCACGCGCTGATTCCACATCGAATGCCGAGGGCCCTGGCGGCTCGCACATCCCATCCAACTGTGATCTACTGTGCCCTGCCCAGTACGACTCCATTCCTCTCTGGCAGGCCCTGTTGAGAAGTGCTTGTCGCTGGCTCCCCCCCCTTCGGACCGGAACATCGACAGGCCCTTTTGAACACCACCTCTGGGAACTTCGAAACGTCTCTCATGGCTAATTCCTTCAAACTGACGCGACCGCGATGGAGAGAAAGGCAACACCAAGCCACTTTTAAAGTGCTTTCTCCGTGGTGAACTCGTGCGTCCTCAGCTTGTCATGGCTGGCTCGGCCACGTGATCTTGACACATCCGTTGCCCTACGAGCGCACGCTGCTGCTTGGCGAAACTCTCAGGAGACGCGTGCGGAACATATTCGTGCCCACCACGGTACCAGCATGGATTGACGGGCTACCAGAGCTAAGGGCCCTCCCAAAACCAGGACACAGCAAACAAGGACTTTGAATATTCCACCTGGAAGGAACGAAGACTGGAGAATCCTTTGACCCATGGCCGCACTTGTCTCGGGTGCGCCAGTGTCCTGGTTTAGCAGAGTCCCATGTTCATACGGGGCCCTGAAGAGCGCTGCTCCGTCAGAACCTTGCCAGCGAACAGGAAGACGATGTGAGACAAGACTACGTCCCCCGCCATGTCGGAACGGATAATCGCGCGAAGCCGCACAGCCACTGCGAACTGATGGTGTCCGCATCCTGTGCCGTGTCGCCCCGCTGTGTCACAACAGCCTCCACGTATGGACCTGGGAGCATACGGCTGATCGCGCTGACGCGCTCCAACGAAAAGAAAACTGGAAAACGAAACCAAACAAAACTCGCAGAAACCTTCGGAACATCCTGGACATGCACAGAGGGAAACCGTTAAACCATATGCGTGACACACAGCAGATCAAGTGCGATATTTGTAGTTGCGGGCTCAATCTGTTGACTACTTTGGAAACCAGGCCCAGCCTGTGTTATTCAACCCCCTATCGGGTCCTCGTGTCCCCAAGCGTGGCGGAATCATTCTCAGGGCTTCGAAGCTCCGAAACGGACTCGTGAAACGTAAATTGCGATTAAGAAGAATTGCGCATATCATACTTGAAGGGGCCCTGGGACACACAAATAAACACACACAAATAACATGATTCCCCATATTTTCTTATATTTTCTGGGTATTCGTCTTCCCCCCCACTTCCCATATTTTCCCATATTTTCTGGGGGATCGACGATTAATTGTGTCTGTGTGTTTTTTCCCTCCTGATGCTGCAGGGACCAGAGGCACACGTGCTGCGCGATCGCCGGAGGTCCTGCTCGTCAGCGACGAACTGGTTCACCAGCACTCGCTTCAGATCGCCTCGGCTACCCTTGGGCGACGCCATCCCGGGGTTGTGGTTGAACTCGATCATCCAAACTTGCAGATTTGCGTCGACCATGAAGTCGATGCCGAACCGCTTCCACTTAACGGACCCGGTGGAGGAAGAGGACGCCGCGGCCGGTCGGACGGTTGCCAATGTGCTTGCCGTTGCAGCCTTCATCGCTGGAAGTAACTGCTCTCGGTAAATGTGCTCGCGAGGGCCGCCTTTGAATGTGCTTTGCAGATAATGATCGTACATGTCGGAGGACCAAGACCAGGGCGCTTGACCCTTCGCGTCATGCGGCGGAGACAAGTTGGTGATATGGGCGGTTGGCACCGACAAGTCCTCCGTGTACGGCCTGCTGGCGAAGTGCAGGTACCCTGCCTCGTAGAACCAGGCCTTCGTAGAGCTCAAGTACGACACCCATCGGTGAGGAGCGTGCATCAGCCCAGCCCACTGCTTAAGACCCCGAGAGCAGCTGCACGCATCTGTATAACAGCGATCGTGCCCCAGGCCCCCCCCCCAGAACCTATCAACACACAGTGCCATCGCCACCAGTTGGGGCGAGCGCACGAAGAGCCGCGCAAGAAACGCGACGACACGATAGTGGGGGTAGGGGGGGGGAGCTGGGTCGGCTCCCAGGGAGGCAATATCGGGCATCGATCTACAGAGAAGCTGGGAAACATGGAAATCGAACATTCCGTGAGAGTCGAAGTGGCCAGGGCTGGCAAAGCTGGCAAGGACTAAGACGAGCCCGACACAATTGAGACGACGTCCCCAGGGGCTCGGCAAACTGGATGGGGATCTGGCGAAGGGCAGAAACCCAGGTCGCTACGGAGAAAACTATACGAGTGGGCGCGGCGTTTGGGCACATGGGCGCTTCCAGAAGGCATGAGGAGGCGGTGGTTCGCCGTAGGCTTCTTCGACAATGGTTAGCAAGAGTAGCGCGCTGCACTGTGCTAAACTGCACTTGGCCTCGGGCAGAGCGCTAGCCGGCCCATGCACGCATGCCCTTGAAACCGCGTGTAGATACCGACGTGCCGTCTCCCGAGGAGGGCCCTCTCGACGTGCCAAACCACACAAAACCACCATGCACAAGATGGCCCTGGGCCCTGGGCCTCCGAAACAAGCTGTCGAATCACAAGCATTCAGTTCCAACCCGCGAGCCTCGGGCTGGTCAGGGCACCAGAGCACGTCCAACCAGTGGCGTACGCCGTACTTGTAGCTGCCCCGTGTAGCACACGATGGCGATACCCCAGGCCCCGGCTGCTGTGCTTCGAGTGCCCGCCGGCCAACCTTGGAGGGCAGGCACAAACGGAAAGATAATGACAAGCAAATGCTGCTTTCCATCAACTCCCCTTCCGTTCTCCCTTGAAGTTCACCTACAGTCGGGGCCTTGACCTAAGGAACCCAAAATAAGGAACGAGGCCCCTTTTCTCCATAAGTTAAACTTCGATTTCCGATCGAAAACATCAGGAAAACCTGAGACAAGCTGCGAAATACTTAAGGAACGCGGATCACCTCCCCAACGAAAAGGGTTCCTTCTTCAGGGCCCCGACTGTATTTCCCCGCCTGCTCCCGCCGCCCCTTCAGTCTGCCGCAGCAGAGGGGCAGCGTGGGCATGATACCTTGCTCACCGTCACCCAGCAGCACCCAAGATATGGCGATTTCACGTTGAGTTGACGTCGGCCCTGTTTTCTCTGACGCAGCGCGGATCGTTCAACCTTGGACGACCGCGACGTCCCAATCGAGCGGATCGTTCAATGTCCGAAGATTCCATGCCAATGGCGGCGTCAAACCTTGGACGTCCGCGCCAGGGTCGCCGCCGCGTCAACGCGGTGCGAACCTACCGCACCTCTACACAACATTGCGCCTCAGGGCCGCTAATCGGCTTCGTGACACCTCTGGTCGTAAGCAGGGCAGCAGCCCCGGGAAGCCTCACGGGAGGATCAGGAGTCCAAGGGTCCAGCACCCCAAACAAATTCGAGTGTACTGAAATATTGGGGCTCTGAGCGCCCATGAACTCATGCCTTAGGAGGCACCCTCAAGCTGGACTGGGGAATGCAGGGGGGAAGGAAGAAGAACTGGATGTGAATGACTCTGAAGTCAGGGGGGGGGACAAGGGAGACTCGCGCGTCTGTCCTTCTCCCGCCTCTCTCATTCTGCCTGCTGTTGTCGCCGTCCTTCCGTCTGCCTCCCCGTTTTTCCCTTATCCTCTTCTTTCCTGCCTGTTACCTGGCTTGCGCCTGCCAGCTTCTTACATCGCCGTCATTTCTTGGGGGGGGGGGGCGATCGCCATATTCGAGGGCTGCCGGGGGCGGAGGCAGCATAGTGGGGTCTTGCCCACACTCAGACCGGACCTCGCCATCGCTGGGGGGCTGCGATCTGCGAATGTGTCGCCACGTTCGAGGGTTGCTGAGGGGGCCAGCAAAGTGGGGGCCCTATGCAAACTCAGCTTAGATCTCGCAATCCCTAGGGAGCTGCGATTTGCGGAACTCTCGCCACTTCCGAGGGCTGCTGGGGGGGGGCAGCTTAGTGGGGCCTTACCCAGACCCACATCCGACTGGCCATCCTGGGGGGGGGGCAGCGATCTGCGAAACTGTCGCCACATTCGAGGGCTACTGCAGAAGCCAGCATCATGGGGACCTACCCAGCCTCAACGTCGACCTCGCCGTCTCTGTGGGGATGCGATATGCGAGATTGCCCCCCACGTTCGAAGGCCACGTGCGGGGCAGCATCATCGGGTCCAACCCGCATTCATATTCGACCTCGCCATCCCTGGAGGTATGCGTTCTGCGAAACCGTTGCCACCACGTTCGAAGGATACGGGGGGGGGCAGCGTAGTGGGGCCCTGACCGAACTAAAATTCGACCTCGCCATCCCTGGGGGGCTGCGATCTTCGAAACTGTCGCCACTTTCGAAAGCTGCTGAGGGTGCCAGCATCGTGGACCCCTACCCAAATCCACATTCGACCTCACCATCCTTGGGTGGATGTGGTCTGCGAAACTGTCGCCACTTTCGAAGGCTGCTGAGAGGGGGGGCAGCGTAGCGAGGCCCTAACCAGACGCGGATTCGACCTCGCCGTCCCTGGGGGGCTGCGATCTTCGAAACTGTCGCCAGCTTCGAGGGTTGTTGGGGTGGCCAACACAGTTGGGCCCGACCCACAGTCAGACTGGATTTCGTTATCCCTGTGGCCTGCGATCTGCGAAACTGTTGCCACATTCGAGGATTGCTGGGGGGCAGCATAGTGGGGGCAGGCAGGGATTAAATCTCGCATTCCCTGGGGGCTGCAATTTGCGAATGTGTCGCCACATCCGAGGACTGTGTTGGGAGCCAACGTAGTGGGGCCCTACCCAGGCTCAGATTCGACCTCGCTGTCCCTGGGGGGTTGCGATGTGCGAAATTGTTGTCGCTTTCGAGGGCTGCTAGGGGGGGCGCAGCATCATGGGGCCCTACTCACATTCAGATTCGACTTAGCCACCCCTTCGGGGGCTACGATCTGTGAAATTGTCGCCGCTTTCGAGGGCTGCTGGGGGGCCAACGTGGTGGGGTCTTACCCAGACCCACATTAGACCTGCCATCCTTGCGGGGCAGCGATCTGCGAACATGTCGCCACTTTCGGGGGCAGTTGGGGGGCCAGCATAGTGAGGGCCCTGTGCAAACCCAGACTAGACTTTGCCATCCCTGGGGGGGTGTGATCTGCGGAGCTGTGGCCACCTTCGAAGGCTGCTTGGGGGGGCCAACATAATGGGGCCCTACCCAGGTTCAGGTTAGACCTAGTCTCCTTCCTTCCTCTGCCCATCTCTCGTCGTCACTTCCTTTCCTCCTGTTGCTATCTGTTATTGCTGCTGTCCCGTTGATTGTTCCAGATCCCCATCTGCCTTCCCCTCTTAGTCCTCGCCCCTTGCTCCCTCCGAGCCAGGGGAATAGCTAATCACCTCCATTACCTTGTCCATCGATCGGTGCCCCGCGAGTCGCGCAGCTCGCGAGCCTCCAAATAACGCTCGAAGAACCTATACCTCCGTGCCACGTATCACCCCCCTGCAAAGTCTACCTAGCTCTTGCCCAAGGCTTGGGTACATCGTCGAGATAATTTCCCCTCGTGCCTTGTGCAGGACCAGCTCTGCAATCTTGTGGAGTCGACTTGTCTCTCTTTAGATGTTCCACGACGCGAGGCGATTTGGGTACACTGCACCCCCCTGACAGGGCCGGGCCTGGAGGGAATCTCGCCCTTCCGTGGCTG